CGACACTGGCTCCCGGGCGTCAAGTCGGACATTGCCTGATGGTCTGCGCTCACCTATCGTACGACTCGAAAATGATTGACACGATTGCGTAGTTGCATGTTCCGCAGCGAGGCTGCAGCAGTCGTCGATTGCATTACCCAAGCTGTCCCACGTCACCTGGATGAAATGCGAATCGATTATGCACATTTTGGTTTCGACGTATGCTGAGATAAATGTACAGTGCGAGAGCAAGCAAGGGGTGGAGCAGTAGCAGCTGCAGAGTGCAAATGGACAAGCCTGACAATGGAATGATCACTTGAGTTTCAGCGCGGAGGGTGTGTGTGTGCAGATGTTCGACCTCCGTATGAGTGAATCACTGAAGACGTATAAAGTACGAGCGAAGAAGCTTGTTATGATTGCTGAGGACTGTTAGCGATCACAAGTCAGCTTTTCCCGCGACGCTGCCTACTTTAGGCGCATCTTCTGCATGGGTGCTGAGGTCTGCAGCAGTCAAAGCGCTTGGGGTGACCGCGTCCTGACCATGACTAGCGCCAAGACTCAGTGAGGGAATCTGCGCGTGCAGCGCATCTTGAATCCAAGCATCCCCCGCATGGCTTGATGATCTCGCCGCATCATGAAGTTCAGGGTCCAGCTGTTCAAGGTCCTTTGATTTCGTTGGGGAGGCTTTGAGCTTGAGCGCAAGAGTAGCCTCTGCGCTCTCAGCCCGAACGCGCAAGTCGAGGGCTTGAGCCTCCAAAGTCTCTATGTGAGATTGCATCCGCATCTTCTCGGCTTCCAACGCTGCTTCGCGAGTCGCATTGCCGTGAGTTGATGGAGGATGAAGTGCAGACGCACTCGAATCCTGGTGCTGGGAGGACCGAAGTCGAAGAGCGTCGCTTCTTATCAAGGAAAGGTCGCGCTCCAATGTCTCAATACGAGCTGCTTGCGATTCGGAAAGGCTGCGCAAATTTCCGGCATCGTCATCCGAGGCTTGCAGCATCATCTCCATCTCGTGCCAGCGTGAGAGTAGAAGCTA